TCGTGTGGTGATATGATCTGTCTGGCAGCTGCATTGATCCGCAGGCTCGAAAAACACACGCACGTTAGTCCAGGTTGAAGTTTGTGGGCCTAGTGTACTGTTGTAGCACTCTTACAAGCCACCATGTCAAACAAAGCTGAACGTGAAGCACACCTATAATACACGAGGTGCAACGCGCACAGCAGGTGCACAACCGATCTGGGTCAGCAGCCCATCATTTGTGGGGTTGCCAAATATCAATTGTACTATACTTACTTGATTCCTCAGACGCTTCGCTGTGACCTGCCCCCCCGAGCTCCTCTCGGCTGCCTTTGCGAAATCTACATCCCCGATCCAGCGGGAGTGGTGGTACCCGCAGAGTCCGGGGTGCTGCTGAGCTGCGGTCCTCCTTGCTGCCAGGTCCCTTATGTCTGGGAGGGGCTGGGGCTCGTTGTCCCCGTGGCAGCAGAACCGCTTCCCAACCGCCCTGGCTGCAGCAGATGTCGCCTCGGGCAGGAGCTGGGGTGTTGTGTCCGCGATGAGAACCAGCTCGTCCCACACAACTAGGGGAGCATTCACTGGGTCCCACTCAGCCGCTTTGGCCTCCCAGAACTGAGCGATGTCCTCTGGGTCCATGGTGGTGATGTTGGTACTGCTGTACTGCTGTTGTTGCTGCTGTTGTGCTGGCAGGCTGTGGCGGAGTGACAAAGTGTCAAAAAGAGACACCCGCCCCCGTGCCTTCGCGTTTTTGAGAGGGTTTTCGTGACTACAGGCACGATAGGAGGCATGATAAAACCTGTCTTTATCTGGCACGATAAAGCATGCTCTCGCTGTTGACTTGTGTGCCTTCTTCCTTGCCTTCGGAAATGTGGTTGCAGAACTGAAGGCCAAGCTTACGAGGCCTCTCCCCGAGTTCTCCTGCGCGAGTGTGTGTTCGAGTGTATTCCTTGTCCGTCTTCAACCAACCGCCACCACAAGGCATAGTTTATCTCTCGCGCGGCTCGTGCTTGCTGCTGCTGCTGCGGCGGGCTGCTGCTGCTGCTGCTGGTGCTTTTTCATTTCGTTTCGCATGCATGCATCCAACAAACAAACCGCGTGCGTGTGTGCTTCTTGTCTCCGCTGGATTTACCACCCAACCAAGTGGCATTGGAGGCGGTGCCATGCCTTGCGCCAGTGTGCTGCATCGGCGGCGGGGTAGAACTGCTGTGCATGCGATGTATCTCTACTGCTGCTGCTGTATCCATGTAGACTATCACCATGTAATCGTGTTTGGGGTAAAGAAATACGGCGCCCTCTCCTCTCTCTCTCCTCCGGTTTCCGACAGCACCTACATACAGCAGTACAGCAGTCAGTGTAGTTATCGGTCACTCATCACATTCTTCACGTGAGGGTTACGCTGCTGTTGGGCACTAAACCTTTGTGGCACCATGGGGTGCGTGCGGTTGACCCATGTGGGAACCTGTTGGTGCGCAAACAAACGTGCAAACGTTCAAGTGCGGGTGTCGTGTGTGTGTGTCTCATGACTCATCGGTCTATTCGGTCCCGGCAGAACAAAAAAAAACGCGGAAGATCCAGAAAGAACCCAGTCACGAAAGGGTTAACGTCCTCCGGATGATGTATTTTAATTCAAAGCCACAGCGCTGTGCGGTGAAATCCAATCGTGCTTATTACGAGGAAGCTTTGATTTGGATGCCTCCGACAACCAACATGTAGACTGCGATATATTTCAGCTTGGGAATCCAACTGCTGTCTACACAAGCCCTTCTAGAGTTCGAGGACAGGTGTCGGGACACCACCTCATACGTCACCGTGTGTGTGTGTCACGGTTAATTTAGTTACGGTTTCAAGGAGTTGCACCTTTGGGAGGTTTGCATTATTCCCATAGAGTGCTGTATAGTTCTGTACATTCCGCAGAGCTCCTTGTAGAGCGTGTCGCCCGCGCACACGCTGCTCACTTCCTTTGTTGGCACTTGTGCTTAGCAATAATCAAAGCGAATACCGTATCCACGACCGGAGACCTTCTCCACGTTCCACAAGCCTCCTTCTAGGCTTTCTCTACCGCTGTTCAAGCGCTCCTTCGAACTCGGTGCAAGAGCGAGAGACTGCTACCAACAGCACGTACGTGCAGCAGCGCCTTTTGTTCCTATATTTTTTTGTGTATGCGCACCGGCGCTCTAGTCTAGTATGGGTGGCGCCGCCAGCGCAGTTGTGCGCTAGCGTTTTCCTGAAATCACAGGTGCTACGTCGACCGCCTAGAGCCCCAGCGGCACCAATGCCCCGGATGGATGAGTGCTCGGGAGTCAGAGCCACACACACCGAGTTACCCCCGATCGCAGTTTTTCCCCACCGGCAGCCGAAAAAGATAATGATGATGAGATTTGAGTGCCTAAGTCCGGGCTGGAGTCGCAGACGCCTTGCGGAAACCGGTGTGTGTTGGTCTCTCTCCCGCCGCTACCGCCTGGACTTTGGATGCCTGGGCCTGGCGCTAGCTGCCGGATTTCTCTGGGCTCGGGAGCTCTTTCGCCGCTACCGCCTGGGCTTTGGATGCATGGGCCTGGCGCTAGCTGCCGGATTTCTCTGGGCTCGGGAGCTCTCTCGCCGCTACCGCCTGGACTTTGGATGCCTGGGCCTGGCGCTAGCTGCCGGATTTCTCTGGGCTCGGGAGCTCTTTCGCCGCTACCGCCTGGACTTTGGATGCCTGGGCCTGGCGCTAGCTGCCGGATTTCTCTGGGCTCGGGAGCTCTCTCGCCGCTACCGCCTGGGCTTTGGATGCATGGGCCTGGCGCTAGCTGCCGGATTTCTCTGGGCTCGAGAGCTGAGGACCGGACCCGGGCGCTGCTAGGAGCCACCACACTGCTGCGCCGCTGCCTTTCGACCACCGTTTTTTTTCTTTTTCGCGCGATTCTACACCCCGCCGTTCCATCATTGTTTCAACTCTGCTGTTACACACCACCTTGACCATTGTTGCTGTGCTGAGTGGGGTTCCTTTCAACCAATTTCGCGTCCTTACCCCATATGTATCGGCCAGATCTATTCCGTTACCCCTACTCTTCATTTTTTTAATTGTAATGTTACACTCACGCCAGCCCCGCCCTCCCGCCTCGCCCTAGCAGTGATGTCCTCTCGCGATTCTCAGGTGTTGTCGGGTGGTGCGGCCGGTACCGTGCAGGCCCCCGAGAGCGCTCAGGAGTCAACCAGTCGCTCCCGCTCCCATGACCGCCAGCCCTCGGAGACGGCAACTCGCTCGGCGTCCCTCGACTACGCCGCACAGGCCTCATCTCGCGGCCGGAGCCCGGGCACCGGTTCCGGCAGCCGCAAACGCCCGAGCAGTAGTAGCGACAAGCGTAGCGGGTCCAGTAGCGGCAGCAAGAGTAAATGCCGTAGCCAGACAACGTCTCGTAGCGGCGGTAGCGGCAGCGGTAACGGCATGGGAGACACAGGCCACAATAGCGGTACAGGCGCCAGCAGTAGTCGCAACGGTCACAGTAGCCATACGAGCTCTAGTAAACGGCGCCGCACGGCGGACTGGAACGACATTGTCAACTACATGCGCTCGCACAATATCTGTTTCCGTCACGCCTTTTCCGGTAATTGCCGTCGCCCCTCGTGCGAGTGGACCCACGATCCGTTTCCCGCAGGCTTCTACAAGAGCGTCCCGATGAGGCAACACGGCGGCGCGGGCCGACACCAGGTGGCGTCGTTGACGGAGATGCAGTACCAGATGGCATGCGACATGGGGATTTTGGCGCGGGGAGACAGCGAGGACGAGCAGGATGGCGCCACCCACGCTTAGGCAGCACCGGACGGTACTTCCTGAAGGTGCGCCACAGGCACGGCACATCCAGGCCTGGGGGACTCGTTGGCAGCTGTGGACACCCCGCCCGGTAAGGAGAAGAGTGGTAGAGACCAGTTGTGGGTAGAGGGTCAGGTTTGGCACCGCCATCGCCGCCGCCGACCTCGGTCGGTGGAAATCCTGTTGGATACCGGCGCTGGCGGTGGTAGAAACGTTCCCTTTCCGTTTTGGCGTGGGCTTAAGCGACTTCTCCGGCGCAGTTTGGATGTGAGTAGAGCAGGGGCTTTGGAAGCAGCCAACCCTCATGACAGTCAGACACCACCGATGCGCATCTTAGGATCAGTAGTGTTGCCGATACTGTTCCAGGGTGATGCACGAGTAAGGAGCGTGGACGTGCGTGTCGTAGAAGGGTTGCCATGCGGGTTCATAGTAGGAGCGGATTTCTTTCGGGGAAACAGTAGTTTGCTTGACTTTAGCCCTGGCAAAGGCTTTAGGCCCGTGCCAGCGGCACCTTGGGTACCGTTTCTTAGACGCTGCACCACACGCCCCGGCTGCTGCTAGCCCCCTCTGCCTAGGAAGGGACCGGTTTAGTCTGCTCACTGCCTTCGAGACCACCCCCGTGTTAGAGCCGCCTGCTGTTCCCACAGTCGTTCCCAGCTATGAAGACATCGTGTGGGAAGACGACAGCTCTTTCGAGTGGGACGTGCGTCAGGTTCCCGAGGCTACCGCGGTGGAGGGCTTTACGGCACGCGCGGTAGAGGCTGCTGCAATAGGGCCCCAACCGCAGGACAGACAGCTCGTGATGGTCCTGCCGACAGCGCGGTTTGATCTCGAGCAAGATGCGGTAGTAGGAGTTGCTCGTTCAGTGATGTGGTGGATTCCAGGGCCGCCTGTCTACTGCAAGCTTGTCAATCGTGGTAAAGAGACGGTGTCGGTCGAGGGTAACCGCGTGATAGCTCGCATGATAGCTCTCAACGTTCGGGACCGCCCGGGTTTTGACTCCCTTTTCGATGCCACCCCTGCTGCCGCCGATCCGCCGTTGCCGCCGCGAGAGGCCAACCCGCCCCCCGATCCAAGCCCGGCCGTCGATCCCAGCCCGCGAGTTCGTGTAGAGGATGCCAACCTGGGGACGCTAGGGTCACTCAAGAAGCAGCAGCTGGTCAACGTGCTTGCTGCTTTCATCGAAGATGGCCTGTTTCCCATCGATCCGAAGCGTGTGCCTGCTTGCATGAACGGTGAGCTAGAGCTTCCTCTGATCAACGAGTTTTGCACTCCGTTCGCAGCCAAGCAACGACGTTTTTCTCCTGAAGAACGTCGTATGATTCGAGCCGAGATACAACAGTTAGTTGACCGGGGGGTGATACGGCAATCCATGTCCCCGTGGGCAGCCCAATGCTTGTGCGTGAAGAAGAAAGACGGTACCCTACGGCTGTGCATCGACTGGCGTGAGCTCAACAAACTCTTGGTTTCGGATAGCGGAGGTCTAGGCGACATGCAAACGATATTCGACGGTTTGAAAGGCAAAAAGTATTTCACGCAGCTAGATCTCGCCTCAGGTTTTCACCAGATGGAAATTGCCGAGAAGGACCGTTACAAAACGGCCTTTCGAGACGCTGATGGTATGCTTTGGGAGTTCACTCGCGCGGGTTTCGGATTGACGGTGCTGCCGGCGGCTTTCACGCGTAGAGTAAAGTCGGCCTTGGGGCAACTGCCTGGTGTGTTTAGCTGGCTTGACGACATCCTCATCGCTAGTGATACGTGGGAAGAACACCTGGCCACCCTTACGCTCGTTCTGACACGCCTCTTAGCTGCGGGATTGTCAGTAAACTTCGCGAAATGCATCTTTGGCGCTGCGTCTCAGGAGTTTCTTGGCATGATCATTGACGGGACGGGTCTGTACCCTGCCCCGTCCAAGCTCGACGCGATTGCCCACATGCCTCGCCCGTGTACGGTAGAGGGGTTGCGCACTTTTTTGGGTTTGACCGGCTACCTTCGGCAGTTTGTACCCAACTACAGTCTGACGGCGGCACCACTCACCAACATCTTGCGCAACAAAGCCTTCGCCTCGAAACGTGCTCGCAAGCTTGCTATCCCTTGGACCGCTGCAGAAGAAGACGCTTTTCGGTCGTTGCGAGCCACTTTGGCTTCCCCAACCGTGCTCGCCTTCCCCGACCTCGAGCGGCCCTTTGAGCTGCACACCGATGCTAGCACGCTAGGCGTAGGAGCTTCACTCATGCAGACGATCGACGGCGCGACAAGAGCAGTAGCATTTGCGAGTCACAGGTTTTCGCAGACGGACGCCAGAAGGGGCCCTACCGAGAGGGAGTGCATGGGCGTGTTGTGGGCGGTTGAACACTTGCGGCCGTACCTCGCGGGTAGGCAGTTCAAGCTGGTGACCGATTGTTCCGCACTGACGTGGCTTTTCCGAAGTAGAGAGCTCTGCCCCAAGTTGCACAGGTGGGCGGTTCGGCTCATGGAATACGACATGGTGTTGGAGTGGAAAACGGGAGTGGAGCACGTGGTGCCTGACGCTCTCTCTCGGCTACCTATCGCTGGTCCAGCCGTGGTGGACGTCGACGACTCTTTCCCGGATGACATGTCGTCGGCGGTTGCCGGCGCTGCAGTAGAGCCTCTTGGCCCAGAGCTGGATGGTGTAAGGTTGGCTGAACTAGACCCCGTACAGGCAGAACCAGCAGAGGACACGGTTGTCCATGATCGTGCCTCACATTCCGCCCTGGAGGCGGTTGACGCTAACCTTTCCGCCCTCCGAGTGTTGCCTTTTGCGACGTGCGCGGCGTTGGATGCTGAGTCAGGCGGCCCCCGTAGAAGCGGCCGATCCCGCACGCCGTCCGTACGTCTGCGGCCCATCGGCGACGTACAGTTGCCACCGGTCGGGGAGACGGGGCGTCTACCGAGCAGGATGGCGGCCGGCCCTACGCCAGTCGAGTCGGCAGACCCGGTGCCCCCGCTCCCGACGCTTCCACCGTTACCCGTCCAACCGGGCCATGACGACATCGGCGAAGTGCTTGCTGCACGGGGGGAGGTTCCGAGGTCGTCCTCAGGACCAGGCTGGAGTGGAACGGCAGTCATCGACTCGACTGCACAGGTGCTCACCAAGCCAGCCCTGCTGGCTCAACGGCAACGAGACGACACTCTCTTGGGTCAGGTTCGCAAGAGTTTGAATGAGAATGCGAACACTAGCCAGCGGGGAAGGGCGGATAAGCGGTACGACCTAGGTGAAGATGATGTTATCCGGTACGTGGATGGTAAGGGTAGGAAACTGCCCACTATCCCCGACTCCATGGTAGCAGACATCATCGCTCTGGTACACACGCTGCATGGTCATGCAGGGACGGGAGCAACTTTGTCCTTACTGCGAGATCATTTCCACTGGCCCACGATGACGCGAGACACCCGACAGTACGTGTTGTCGTGTAGTTGTCGTAGACGCAAGAGACCGCAGAGCAGACGGGTAGCCATGATGCCAGGTAGACCGCTCGAGCCGTGGGATGAGCTGCAAATGGATATCCTCAAGATTGACACGCCGTCGCTGACCAGCAACAACTACGTTCTGCTCGTGGTAGACCGCGCCTCTAAGTTCCCTTTCGGTTTCCCGTTAGAGACAAAGCAAGCAGTAGGCGTTGCGCGCGTCTTGATCGAGCTATGCCTGACCTTCGGTGTTCCAAAAACCATTCGCTGCGATGGGGGTTCAGAGTTCGGAGCGGAGGTAGTGAGGCACCTGTGTAGGTGGTTGCATGCAGACATCGTGTTTGGCCCTGCGGATCATCCACGAGGTCAGGGGTCTGTCGAGAGGCTGGGGGGATGGCTCCAGGAGCTATTGGCGGAGCTGTGTAGGTCGTGGCCTGACAGGTGGGACGAGTATGTTTCACCGTCGATTTGGATCAAGCGTACGCTGCCAGACACTTCGCTCCCCTCCCACATGACCCCTTTCGAGCTGCTGTTCGGCCGCAAGCCCCGCACGACTTTGGACTCGTTAGTGCCTCTCACAGACGAGGCAGGACAGGAGCGAGGCCTTGACAATTTCGTGGAGCGACGCAAGCAGAATCTCCGCGAAGTACGGCTGGCACTCGAGAAGCGCCACGAGTTGCAAGTAGCGGCGCGGGCGAAAGCCAACGCGTCGATCGAGAGGTCATCCGCAGGAGTGGCGGTGGGACAGGACAGCTTAGTGCTGGTCCGCGAGACCGACAGTCGACGACACCGAGATCGCAGAGGGAGGAAGCTGCAGCACGACTTGTACACAGGGCCCTGGAAAGTAACGGACGTGATACAACCGGGTCTTAGTGTAGGAGTCAGCATGCAGGGTAGAAAGAAGCGTAGCCGGAGAGTGTCTACCGCCGATGTTAAGCCTTTCCACCTTCGACCCCCCTCGCTCAGACATTCCATCGCCGACGAGTTCGCGACTTACGCTTGGGGATCCGATTTCAAACTCCCTGCGGGGGCCGCAGAGATGTTGGGATTTGTCTCCATTGTGGACTGCCATAGAACCCGATCAACCTCTGGCGCCCAGTTAGTTTGGGAGTATAAGGGGATGTCTGGAAATGGGGTGGTGTCGGACTGGGTGTCAGAAGAGGTCATGCTGCAGAGTTTCACGCCCCTTCAGTTGGATGGCTTCGTCGCACTGTGGCATCTGTACTACCCGCAACGCGCCACCGATCCTTTGCCTGTCTTACCCAAGTCCCGTGCCCCGCTGTCGCACGCCGAAGCTCTGAAGCTGTTTCCGATAGGTTTCACCTTCTGGAAGGAGCTGGATGGAGGAATCAGGTTGCAAGGCCAGGTGTACGACTATCTCCACCCTTACTGGCGTGTACGTTACAACGACCAGAACTGGGAAGAGCTCTCCCGCCGAGAGCTGGAGCGACTAGCGAAGTAGCGGCCAATGGCTTGCGTGGCCGGACTATGGTGCCTTTCGATTGCAGAACGTTCGTTTCTTAGACGGGGCACGGCCGTTTTCAGGTGGTCCAGAGACGCCAGTACACGAGTCGGTTTTGCGCTGCGTTGGGTGGTAGGATGTAGGTGTTGATTCCTAGGGATAGTGCGTCCGTATGCAGGCAGTCTTACGATGCCCGTACACCGGTCGGTACGCGCTGATTCCCCCGATGCGTGTGGGTGGTAGTTGGAAGCCCTAGGAATAGTGCGTCCGTATGCAGGTAGTTCTACAATACCCGTACACTAGTCGGCACGTTCTGATTCTCCCGATAGATAGCTAGTTTGGAGTGTGTACCTTGCCGTAGCGCGCGTAGTTCACGGTTTCCTTTTGGCGAGTAGATTGTTTCGCGTGTCTAGACGTACTATTTTATTTAGCCCTTGTGAAGCGTAGGGTATTTTGAGTGTTATGTGTGTCCTGATTGTACTTGTATAGCCGGAGGATTTGATACCTGGTTGCTGATTTTGCAGTACCCGGTGGCACCCTTGTGGGCACTTCGTAGTGGCGTCTTGATGCGTGGAGTGTGTTGATTTTGTGTCGTAGGTGTACGAGTGCCATCGCAGTGATCGAATTGTACGGTTGCAGCTGCGGTGTGGTTTTGGTTTTGGTTTGGTGTTGTAGGTGCTTTGCGCAATGGGATTATCCCTGGATGGCCAGGTTTTTCCCGCGCTGTAGATGAGGGTCGGGCCAGCCACTACAGTGAATTCACCAAGTGAAGGACGGTTTTTTGTAAGAGTATTTTACGTCCAAGTGGCACTTGGTGTTTTCGGTCGCTGGCCTGAATTCTTTGGCTCTCGGGATGGGGGCGAAGGGTTTCTCCCGGACACCGGGTTTTTCCTTCGCACAAGTCGATGTCGGGCCTGTTCAACGCGCAGTGAGAATGTCGAGACGAGCGGTTTTTATGTAGGTTTTTTCGCTGTCCCCTCTCGATATTCTCGGTCGAACTTTCGGTCCAACTTATAGGCATCGCATGGTAGTTTTTCAAGAGGAAGTGCGCCACTTTGCGGTGTCCGCAATTCCCGCTACCGTTTAGCATGTGACAGCTGACAAATAGCTGTTCATGCTAGGGGGGATGTCACGGTTAATTTAGTTACGGTTTCAAGGAGTTGCACCTTTGGGAGGTTTGCATTATTCCCATAGAGTGCTGTATAGTTCTGTACATTCCGCAGAGCTCCTTGTAGAGCGTGTCGCCCGCGCACACGCTGCTCACTTCCTTTGTTGGCACTTGTGCTTAGCAATAATCAAAGCGAATACCGTATCCACGACCGGAGACCTTCTCCACGTTCCACAAGCCTCCTTCTAGGCTTTCTCTACCGCTGTTCAAGCGCTCCTTCGAACTCGGTGCAAGAGCGAGAGACTGCTACCAACAGGTCGGTAGCTGTTTAGTCACCATTTAGTCATGCGTGGGATCCTCTCAGAAAGCAGACATGTGCATATGTGGCCCCTGCGAGCCTTGAACCAGAAGCTCGAGTCTTCTCCTACAAGACCTTCTCAAGTCACAGGATCCCTCTCAGATTACAGTCTCTCCACTTGCTACATGTGTGCCGCTCCCTCCCGCGAAACCCTACCTATGTCCACCATTGCCCCGAGCAGCCGTCTCGCTAGCACAGCCTGTTGTCCTTGATCAGGAAGAACGGCGTACACCACGATGAGTCACGCCGGCCGTTCACGCAGGACTCGCGCTGCTTGGGCAGCAGCGTCTGCTGCTGCTGCTGCTGAAACCGCGGCTGCGTCCGCTGCCTCCGATGCTTCCGCTGCCACCGCGGCTGCGTCCGCTGAGGCTGGCGGACCATCGGCGCCACCACCAGCATCGGCACCGGCATCGGCATCACCAGCGCCAGCCTCAGCACCAGTACGAGCATCTTCGACGAGGTCAGCAGCAGTAGCGGCACGGGGAGGAGAACGACAAGCATCGTACCAGCAGGAAACAGGAGGAAGCGGTCGGCGTGCATCTTCTTCTGTCCATCTTCACGATGGAGCGGGTGCGGGAGGTATGCTGAAGGAGCGTAGCCTCGGGATGCACTACATCTTACTGGAAAGGCTGATCAACACGAGCCACGCTCGGCAGATTAGCCAAAGGAGCGTGAAGCTCCTTCAACAATCGATCCAGTCCCAGGACTTCATGGAGCATGGAGAACCAGCCGCTTTCTGTGATATTCAAAGGGGTTCATCAAGCGCCTTTCACACAAGAGGATGCCGACAAAGCCGGGCCCGCCAGCGTCTTGGACGGGAACCATCGTTTGTAGCCCCCAAGGCCGTCATGCCTGGTGATTTTCTGGTCCCGTGCCAATGCTACTCGGACATCAAGGACGCAAACGTGAAGAGGATAGTGGCAGATGGTGAGTTCATGGCAGTTGCTAGACTTAACATGATGTTTGTAGTGTTGGCGCAGTATCTTACGGGTCCTACCGCTTTTTTGCTGCTGCTGAATCGTTCGTATTGACGTATCCGAAAACGACTAGGGGGTCGATGTTTGACGATGTCCACACACACATATACTTAGAACAATACACCATTATCTCACTCAACATTCAAGTGCTCTGACCTTTTTCCCTGTTTGTTCTTCACTACTCCTCAGCGTGCAATGATGCCACCTCGACGTTCGCCGAACGCACTATCTACGATCGGCTGTACTTCTTCAGCTCCCTCTACAAGGGAGCACAGGCTTCGCTGGAAACGTCACGGTCCCGTAGTAGGCAAGTGAACCCCAAGGACATCAAGGAACTCTACGCGAAGGTAAGCACGTGTTTGGTAAGAAGATTATCATGAAAAGTCAACAACAACGCTATATCAAACGGATGTTCTTCACCGATCGACGTAGTAGTGGTATCGTTTTGTTGTGTGGAATACTCTGTGTACTTGCCGTAGCTCATACGGTAGTCGTACATACTAATTGCACAATACCCCCGCTCAATAGTTTGTGTATCAGCAGCAGCAGCAGCAGCAGTAACTATCTGGTTGTCGCTTTCGCTTCTTCAGGCAAAGCAGGCGGTCCCCAGCGACTCCACGCTTCGCAGCTGGCTGAAGGCCGTGAGGGGCATCAAAGAGGAAGCACTCACCGCCCTAGAGGACCTGGTCGAGTCCGAAGATAAGTCCGTCGACCTCAACCTCGTCACCCTAGCTTACATCAGCAAGGTTGACTTCATGGCGCTTTCAGCTGAGGAGCAGGGCTTCAATCTACAGATCCTGGCCAGGCAATGTTGGACTAGATAGACGTACGCGACTGTTACAGCAGCAACGAAGGTCAAACTTACCGTTGGCAGTACCTGTCTCCGACAGACCGTTATTTCTTCGTTCCCGCGGAATCCACTCTCTCGACCATGATCTATGGACCATGATCCCAACTTCATGTTCTTCCCCCATCGTCGAACCCAAATCCACGATATACTTGTAACGTGTCAGGTGGAAGAAGTTCCAACAAGGAAGAGCATTCAAGGCGGACGTCGACACCCCCCCGATCATTGCGCAGGCTAAGGACGTGGCACAATGGTACTTCGCCCTTTGTGGCATCGTGCCTTACCAGGATTGGTCGCAGGAGCTTAAAAGGCAGGTGCCCACGTTTGTTTTTCTTAGGCAGCGCAAAGAACGTCTCAGCCCTCTGAAAAACTCCTGTCCAGGAACGGGTACCTCGCATGTCTGATCGATGCAGTTGACACCTAGGTACCCATGATTGTGCCCCTCGCAATTGTTGCCATTCGTCCCGTCGTCGCCCCCTCGTTAAATCTATCCAACAGCAAGTTCGAAAATATGGCCTACGCGAAGCCTGCTTTGTGGTCGTTCCAGAAAGCCTTCCTCGACGGTCTCGAGGATGAGGTTTTGAAGCTCAGCAAAGGTCTCCCACAACACGGCGGTAAAAGCGTCCCCAAGCTTGAGGAATGGATCGTCCAGGCCCTTCGCTCACAGCAGCCCAGCAGGATCAAAAAGGTCGTTTCCCTACAGTATGGGTTAATAAATCTCGTCGGCCACCCCACTCCCCCGTAGTCCTTGAAGTAATGTACCGTGATGAGCTAGTGAGCGCAAGCTTAAGGCCCAATAAGCATCGCGGGCATAACATTGTCCATGCAGATACATTAGTCTGACTGATCGTCTGGCCCTATCAACACACGATCTCTGCCACTTCTGTAACGGCTGCATCCCGCTCAAGTCGTGCCCAGATGGTCGCGATGACACTTGTGTTCAATGGAATGTTGAGATGTATATCTACCTTGCGCTGCTACGCGCTTTTTTCTGTGTTGTTTGCCATTTTTTGTTCTCGCATCTTGAGTGAAGATTCTGGAGTCCGACGCCTCTCTACGGCCATCGTACGAGGATTTTATGAAGAGGCTCAAGGAGGCGAAGAATGCGGTTACGAGGAAGAAGCTGCAGCTGGCGAAACCCATGAAACGCCCTTCCGAGCGCAAGAGGAAAGGGAAGTCGTGGGGGGGAGCAGGGAGAGGGAGTAGAGGGGCGAAAGGACGGAGACGAACTGCAAGGAAGAGCAAAACCCAAGGGGGGGGGGAGGAAGACGAGGAGGAGGAGGAGGAGGCACCGTCGTTGATGATAACGTAAAATCTTTGTAGAGAGCCATGTAGGTAAATTGTAGGTAAGGTGAATTATTCGGGGTGCGTGTACATCACGTTGTAAGTAGTGGGCATGAAGACTCAACAAAAACAGACGGACTGGCCAGTATGGACTGGGCGTTTTGCTGTCAACGCGTTGCTTCTGAAAGCTTCGTCAGCAACGGTTCGAGGAGGTATGTATGCTCGTAGCTGGATAAACTGACTGCCGTTCTTTGCTCTGTGTAAGTATTTGTTAACAGCGAGCGGTGTACGTAGGGTGTAGCGATAGAACTCGACATGTATATTTTCTTTCGTCGATGTCGGCTGATTCTAAGGAAGGTAACACTGCATTTCGGTGGTGTGATGGTAGGCCTCCTCCCGTTTTGCGTGCGGGAGTTTAACTCTGACAATTTTCTTCCGTGCATGACTGAGAAGAGGCAGCAAAACTGGGTGGTCAGGGATGGCAGTAAGTATTGTACATTGATTGGTATTTTTGTGTAGTGTTGTGTATCTTCCCATGTATTTATTATTGTGGGAGACAGTATACACCAACCGGGTCGCTCCCGAGGAGAGACGTAGACACTGGACTTTTGTTTTTCTTCTCGAACGGTCACCCGGCGGTTTGCCTGGATGTTGCCTGGTTGCTAACTGTAGTTTTAAGTGAAGCAGGAGAGAAAGAAGGATTCAATCAGCAGATAGTTCGCTCTGTTTCGTCCAATGCCTTTTTTCCTTGGGTCTTCGAAAGCGCAGCAACCAGCAGTCGACCTGGGATTTTCAAGCACTGTTTTCGATTTCACGGGTGTACATCAACACCCAATTACAACTTCCAGGTCAGCAAGGAGTCCTCTCGCACCACCACGCCTACCGTAAAGGTATGCAAAAAACGAAGTAGATCAAATTAACTGTCCTCCATGCTGGCGTATCATTTCACGAGGTTTCGAGCAATCACCCGCCACGAAGAAGCTGTCAGTACCTCGAACTTCCAGCTTACACACCGCTAAACCTAGCAGCCGACATACGTCGACGAATAAGCCATGTCAGCACGTACACCGACTCTATTGAAGGCAGTTTGGCAACGAACGTTTGCCCTCTTACTTGCTGTAAAAAAAAAAAAGGAAGCATACAGTAGACTATACACACGTGAAACGAAAGAAAGCAGCACCTACTTTCCGGCCTTCAGTTTTGGTGTTTCCCTCTTCCCAGATATACTCCTAGCAGCCTGAAACGGCGGTTGAGTTGTAAGTCATCCTCCCCATTAACAAGTGTATACATGCTTCAAAGGAGAAGGGCAGCATACGCACCTAATATAAACAATAATACGCAGCAATGACGGCCCCCATTCTTATGCATGCATCTACGTCCTGCCAAGCAGCAGCCTGAAACGACGGTTGGCTCATCCTCCCCACCAACTGTATTCCTAAAAAAAACGAGGCAGCATACCCCCCCCAAGAAAAAATGCAGCGACGACGGCCTCCGTCTTTACGCATATCCACCATCCCAAGCAGCAGCCTGAAACGGCGGTTGAGAAGTAAGTAATCCTCCCCAACAACACCTTTACATGCCTAAAATAAGGGCACCACACACACCTAAATAATAAACGCGGCCACGACGGCCTCCATCTTTATGTACATCCATCCTCCCAAGGAGCAGCCTGGAACCGACGCGTTAGCCATCCTCCCAAACGACAGTAAATAGCTTCGAGCGAACGGCTCGTCCGAGAGGCAGTCACGGCACCCCAAGTTTCGCTTCTCCAACGAGTCCGCCCGGTCTGTGCGTGGTTGTACCTGTCAACAAAAAAAAATGCCGCGCGTGTGGAAGCAACACCCTTCAGTCCTTGGAGCGTAAATGCTATCCCGGGCCGGCCCGAAACCAAGACGTTTTGAACCGCCCGTTTCGCGCCGAAACTGTGTGTGTCGAAGGCACCCGGCCCACTACCGTAACGCTGAAGCTTCATCTCGTCGTCGACGGGGGGACTGAACAACTATCCTCTAGGCACGCTTGAGCCTTCATGTTTGTGGTGTAAGACAACGAAATGCGAAGTCCTACAGCAGTAGATGGCGAGTACTGAATAATGCGGATTTTTATCGAGCTCGATAGGCAGTAGTAGCGGGGCCGTGCGCCTGTCCGAAGTGCGGGCTTAGCGTTCTCACATCTCATCAGTTAGTTGGTTCTCTGGGAACATTTTTTTTTTTCTGTGGCACACACGATCCCGCGACAACTTCTCTCAAGATGCCCTGGGGAAAAGGGGTTTCGCGCAAGCATGATGTCGTACGTTTTGAACACCCCGCTCGGTCGGTTAGATGCACGGTAGGATTGCAGGGAACCTCTTGCAAGCCGCCGACAAAACATGCGAACAGCCGTCATTATGCACGACTTCCTTCAAAACCAAAGCAATAAGCTTCTTCTCGTAGCTACATACAAGTAGGATTGGGGGCTAGAGTCCACAACCAACCCTGTTGATCTTTCTTGGCCGTTCACCTTGCTTGCGCGTGTTGGAACGACCTCACGGCCAGCGAACACTCTGCTTCGCCAGTGTCATCCACCCGAATGCCCTCGCTTGAAGTTTCGCCACCGAGATACCATCGCGCGAGCCAATGTCGTCTGCCGTCGAGACAAACAAACGCCGTGGCAGATAACCTATTTTCTTTTAGAATAGGCGCAAAAAACTGCTGCTGCTGTGCTACTACTGCTGGGTGCCTACACCGTACGTAACTGATGAACGTGCGTACCAGACCCAACCCGGGGCTGTTACGGGTTACTGAAGCACGTACGTCTAGTCTACACTCGAACACACTACTTTTTATATTACTACTGCTGCATTGGTATATGAAAACACCAGGCCCTACACGGCTGTGGTGGCTACATGCAGCTGCATGTAGACTATGGAGTGCTGTCTTGCTTGCCGAGAAAGAGGCAGGTATTTGTGTGCACAACAACATGCACTGTTGGTGACACAAGATACCACGCACACCCTGCACCGATTTTCAGCAAGAAAGCTCGATTTCTCAAGACACAGGAGAAGGTGTGGCGATGCCGCAACCGGCGGCGTTCTAGCCGTCCTGTCGAGAGCTTTCCACCATTTAATTTCGACATCTTCTTCTCCGTCCCGTGGCGTTGTAGACATTTGAAAACCGGTCGGTGGGGTGGGTGGTATCATGTGTCATTTGCGTAGAGGTGGAACACCTATGTAGCGGCAGCGTTGGCTTCCTGCAGGTAGAAGTGCTACTCGTGACCCGTAGGCTACTGCTCCTTTCCTGTAGATGTATGAACATATGTGCGCTGTGGAAGCAGGTGAGGGAGGTAGGTGGGTCTTCGACTCAACATCAACAATTTTTGCTCCCATTGTTGCGGCAACACAACTACGCCGAGAACAGAGATAGCAAGGGAAACAGTCCAAGCAGACCAGGCCAAAGACATACACGGAGTTTGGCTGTCCTCTGTCTTCTTGCAGCGCGGTGTTGTTGTACTTCTTTGTGGTTGTTGGAGGGGAGCCACGTCATCTTGGCAACAAAAAAACACACACACACACAAACGGACAGGACTCGGCAGCAGCTATGTAGCTGCCAGGGTGGGTTGGTGCGGCACCGAGAATACCCTAGGCATGTGAGACTCACTGCTGTACACGGGCAGCAGGGGTATCATAGGTCCATGGGGCCTCACAACGCTCGTCTACCTCTCTCTGTCGCGCTCTCGTGGGACGTACGCGCAGGTTGTTGCTGTGGTGGGAGTTCGTTGCCGGGGACCACGTTTGCCATCAAGAAGGAAGGGGGAAAACAGGAGAGAGGGGACGCAGCAGCTGCAACTAGACCTGTCTGTGGCACCGCGCATAACGTATGCGTGTGACACGCAGCTATAAAAGTGTGGCAGGGACACTATAAGCCTGTGGCGCCCCACTGCACCCGCCTGATCCTATACATGCCCTGTCCCAGCTGCCGCGGTTGCTTGAAACTCGGTTGTGCCGCCTTTTTTTCTAACCGGTGAGGGGTGCCAACCTGTGTCACCCACGTGGTGGCTCCATGGCCCAATGACGCACGGATTTGAGGGCACCTGGTATGGGGACACTCTCTCTAGGACGTACGGGCTTACCTGGAGCATGCTGGTGAAGCTCTCGACAAGGCATGTGGGCCGGGCTGCTATGGATTTGGCCTCCAGGGTGGACCAGTGGAATTTCGTTTTCGGAATTCTAAGCGGGTCGTGCGGCGAAATCGCCGCCGATTTGATAGGTAAGAAAAAAGTGATAGGTAATAGGTAAGTTAGAGAATTCCTTGTTTTTTCCGCTCGCGTATCGTGCGATAACTTTCGATTCATGTCGAATAGACAGAATTTCAGCCACGATAGTAACCCCCACATCAAAGCAAACAACAAAGGTTTCAACCGAAAAGGAAATTGCACCACACTAGTTTCAAGTTGTTTTGCTGACAGAATGTTGAAGACTGGAGAAAAATCTCAGGTTTACACACAATGTGGAATTTCTCGCGGAATTTTGTTTTTAGGAAAAATCGGGAAAATGCGTCATCTGTGGAATTTCGAGAGGAATCGTTTGCCTCACTCTATCCTAAAATCGTGAAGTTGTTTCTTGCAGGAGATCTTGAACAAGACGCCCTTCCGGATCCAGTTATTGGGGCGTTTCTGGTGAAATTTAGGTTCTAGGAAAAATCGGGAAGATGAGCCATCTACGGAATTTCGACAGGAATCGTTTGCCGCACTCTATTCTAAAATCATGAAGTTGGTTCTCGCAGGAGATCTTGAACCAATTTTCCCGTTTATTCGGTGGTAGAAGGCGAAAAGCAAACAAAAAAATCGATCACGATATTCGTGCGCCTGGAGACGGGGCGTTATACGGTGTTTTGAAATATTTAACAACCTCCCCTACCCCGAGAAAATTACACCGAAGGGCACGGCGGCAAAGTGGATCGGAAGCCCCTGACGGACCAAGAACTCAGCTAGCTAGTGAGCTGCAGGTGAGAGTGTAGCCTCGTCTCCGTTACATGGTACACGTCATGGATAGAGCGTAGGCGCCAGCGTTGTTGATCGCCCTTGCTTGCTGTTCATGGAACCCAGCGTTGTTCATCGCGTGTTCGTCCTGCAATTAATTGCTTAATAAAACAATCTGCTTGCGTATGTCACCACTCTCGTCTTTTTTTTTGTTTGGTGTGTGTGGAACTATTGATCGCGCATTCTTCCCCACGCAATACCTTACCATACCATCACTTGTTTGTGCCGAGTTAATCTGTGAGGAGTCCGTCTTGACTATGTGCGTGTTTTGCTTGGCTTGGTGTGTGTACTCTTGACGTGTTCGCGTGCACATACATGTGGACCCTACCGGAAACTACACTGCACATTACTTACGCTCTGTTTGGTTGTTGTTGTCGTTGTTGTCTTCACGTTAAAAATCATTGCGATCTCTCCCTACCCAGTACTTTCATATGTCCGTACTGATCCAACACTTGACGCGGTCGATTCCCGTCGTCACAGGCTTACTTACCCTCAAAAGGTACGCTCAAACAAACTGGCCCCGAGGGGTCCGCAAGTCAATAGAAATCAACGACAGATATTCTTTAGTCCTCCGCTCCCTCTGCGCGCTATGCGAGGTAACAACTGAGACTAGGAGTCAGCATCACGGGCCAGAGAGAAAGAGGTACACCCCCTTGGTTCAGTCTTGGTGCTTCACACGCAAGCAGAGATGAGGCCATCTGACACAGAAAAAGAGAGAAAAAAGAGCGACAAAGAGAAAAAAAAAAAAAAGAGAAAACAATTAGTGTTTTTTGGGGTGTTCGATTTAATTAATTGTTTTTGGGTTCGGGGAGTACAGTCGTGGGCCCGGTTTAGCGGTTCCCTGTTCAGCGGGATGCCCTCAATAGCGGTCATAAAATCTTGTGGCACGGCTGCACCCCGGTTTAGCGGTTTATGTAGCCGCTAAACCGGTCGTGCCCTCAATAGCGCTTATTGGATATATATGTTTGCAGCCATAAAAAAAAGCGGCTAAATTTATCAGTTCAATTTTTGCGGAGACCCCGCGCGCGCTTCGCTTGCACACACTCACGCATTGGTCAACCGGCTCGTAGTACAAAGCACACAGCGAGGCACACAAGCACCATGCGGTGCGCGGATGGAGAACTGTGCAAGCTTCCAGATGCTCCACTGGGTTCAAGCGGGGCGCAGCATTGTAAAGGTGGGTACGGTGGCCGCATGCACGGCATGTGTGGGGAGGTAGAGGATCCGGATGGCAACGAGATGCACCGCATTTGCCACCAGTGTGCAACCAAGAAAGCACAGAGTTCCCCTCACGCCTCAAATACACCCAAGCACAAAGAGGTGGAAGGTGGCTTTCTAGCACCCGGCGCGCGGAAACAAACAACTCGCGCTGCAGCTGCACAACAGCCCCGCACGCTTTGGCCAGAAGCTTGACGTCTTGA